AGCAGCAGCAGCATCAGGTGGACCTGGAGCAGGACCTCAAACAACAGGCTTGGGCCTACTTGGACAGCACCCTGTCAACCGAGGTAGACAATCCCCTTGACTACTGGGCAACGAAACTTGACCTTTGGCCCCAACTAGCTGAATTTGCCCTTGAAATGCTGTCATGCCCGGCCAGTAGCGTGGCATCGGAGCGCGTGTTTAGTGCGGCAGGAGGTATTGTAACTCCGCGGAGGACACGACTGTCCACCCAAAGTGTGGAGAGACTCACGTTTGTGAAAATGAATCAGGCGTGGATTAGTCTGGATTTCAAACCACCAGTTCCTGACACAACTGACTAAATCCGCCATGAATCATGCCCCAAACATGTGCCACTTTCAGGTCTCCTCACACTGCTGGTGTGTTCCATTTTTTGTCATAGGGTGCTGGCAGATTACGGGCCTCCCATAGCTGCTGCCAGGCCCCTAATCTGCCATGGGCCCCTATACCGCCTCCTCATGCTGCTGCCAGGTCCAGAGTCTCTCATGGGTCCCTGTACGGCCTCCCATTGCTGCTGTCTCCATCGCCACACTCTGCCATGTGCCACTTTCAGGTCTCCTCACACTGCTGGTGGTTTCCATTTTTGTCATAAGGTGCTGTATGGCCTCCCATTGCTGCTGCCTCCACCGCCACACTGTGGCTCCACACTTTGGCCCCGTGACTGCCCAAATGAGTGAAGTGTGCGGTGATTCTAAGATCGACGGCACTCATCTGCATGTCATACTGACTGTCAGTATTATTTCTCTTCCCCAGCAGACTCCAAGGGCATTTAAATTAAAGGTACAGTGTTCTGCACTAATATAAAGGCTCTCTGAAGCCTAGAAACACCCTTTTATAAGTTAAATTCGCAGCGAATATATTCGACTCGAATCAAAATTTTTCCACGAATTCGCCGAATCAGTCGAATCGAATTTTTGAATACTTCGCTCATCTCTAATCATCACTATCATTGACCGTATCAACATTATCAATATCAGCTTCATCATCATCATCATTAACAACAGGTACGTTTCTAATGTCCATGACACATGAGTTCGATACCTCCCCAGACAAGGGGATTTCTTCTCCTTCTCCAGCTAATGAAGAATCTTGCCACCCCACTCCATTACCAGCCCCCTCCCTCTGTCCATCCACTGGTTGCCCAGACATTACCCCAACATCTGCACACAGTACCTCGGCATGTCTAGAGAGTTCCAGGGGGGCCTTCCGGGTATTCTCGGCAGGGGAGTAATAGGACACAAGAGTACCCAAATTGGCACCCAACAGAACAGGTGTGGGAATTTCACCCGAGACCCCCCACCTCCCTCATCCCCCTTCCCACACTTCAAATCGATGAATACCTTTTGCACAGGGGATGCGTGAATGGGTCCCCCCAACTCCTGTGAGGGTAAGGAACTTTCCTGGGATGAGGTTCCTTTGCTTAATCACCTCTGGCCGGATCAAGGTGACTTCTGCTACGGTGTCCCGGAAACCAGTTACAGACCGGTTGCCCACAGTGACTGGCTGCAAGTTGGCGGGGTTACCCGCATCTTCCTGTGGACAAACAGCACTGAAGAAGAGTTGCTGGCTGGCTGGCCAGATGATGTCATCTGCTTCTGCTCAGGACACTGCGTCCTGAGATGTCCGGCTTTCCCACAGGTGAAACATCTGCGGTTGTCAGGCAGGAATGGCTTGGCCCCAGGTGCTGCAGCTGTTGTGGCAGGGCTCCCGGGTGTGACCAGAGGTGTGTGACTGACGCAGGGAAACGCAGACTTCAGATATGTTATAAACAATGTAATTTAATAACACTAACCATACAAACATAAACGCAGTGCAATACTAAAACATAACACAGTGCAAACAAACCAACCAACCACCCACAGATGACAGTACATACAATGCAAGCGTCGTCAGGCAGGCCGGGTCAATATCAATCGGGCAGGTAGGTACAGGGGGAGCAAGCGGAGAATGGTCGGGGTCACAGGCCAGGTTCAGCAGGTAGCGGGCAGCGTGGTACAGAGGGTCAGGCAGAGGAGAATGGTCAGACAAGCCAGGGATCAGAGCAGGTCAGCAGAGAATCAGACAGGAACAGGGAGCAGGAACAGGATACAGGGCCCAAGAGAAACACAACACCAAGGCCGAGTCTGCAGGTCTGAATGTCCCTTAAATACACCAGTATAATTAGTTCCAGGTGTTTGACTGGCTGCAAGGTTGAGTCTCTGATTGCTGGGAGCACCCGCTGGCCAGCCCTGGTACTGCAGCTCCACATGGCACGCCCCCCCCACCGCGAGTGGTACTGCAGCTCACAAGGCAGGCGAGTCCCACTATTGCTGGCCAGTCCATTCCTGACATGTTGGTTGAGGAGGATCTTGACTCACTGGCGTAGGAGGGGTTGCTATGGGTGATTTCCCTCCTTTCCAGCCATTTGGAGGAGCCTTGCGAGGGTCAGACACCCGCGTGTGGACAAAGGTATCTGCCAAATCGGCGGCAGCTTTAGCAGAGGCTGGTTCTCTTTCTAAGACAAACTGTCTGACATCTGCCGGGCAGATATGCAGTAGCTGATCTCGTATCATGAGATCTTCCAAAGACTCTTAGGAGTCAGCTTTCAGTCATTTAGTCCACTGTCGGAATGTGGAGCGTAAGCGACTTTCCACATCCGTGTAGGAGTCCCCAGGTCCCTTTTGCATGGACCTGAACCACTTGTGGTACACTTCTGGGGTCATCTGGTACTTCCGGATGATGGCATCTTTTAAAGCTTCATAATCATCGTCCTGCCCCTCTGGCATTTCAACAAACGCATCCAGGGCCTTGCCTCGTAGCCCTGGGGTCAGGTACCGAGCCCATTGAGTTGGGGGCACATGGTACTGACGGCACGTTTTTTCAAATGACAGTAAATACGTGTCAATGTCACGATCTTTGTCCATCACTGGAAACTTGGCAGCTGTGCCCACGGCCAGAGTGGAGTCCCTGTGCTCTAGGGACCCGGGGTTCTGCACTTGTCGCTGTGGCTGGAGCCTCGCCATCTCCAGCTTGTGCCGATGATCAGCTTCCCTCTGCACCGCCTCTCTCTCAGCCGCTCTTTCAGCTTGGCATTCCGCAGCTTCTCTGTCAGCCGCTGCTTGGCGTTCCGCCACCTCTCTGTCAGCCTGGCGTTCTGCAGTCTGTCAGCCAGGCGTTCAATGAACCACAGGTATGCCTCAGGATCTATCTCCTTAATGCGTTTCAGGTCTTCCTGCATCTGAGGAGAGTCTCTGCTGGTTACAGGCAGTCCGGTGCTGGCCCACTCAGGCGGTGGTGTGATGATAACATTCGGTGATCCTCCAGTGTCAGTCTCTGTATGCCCATCCTACGAAGCCGTCTCTGAGCCACTGGGATCGGAGATAGTGGGAACTCCATCATGGTCAAGTTCCCCCGAGTTCTGATCTGCTCGGATATCATACTCCAGTAGGTCCCGAATCAAATCTTCACGATTTTTGCGACCGACGTCCAATCCTCATTAGGTACATTCCGCCTTCAAATCACCTTTGCTCATTTTCTCGTATTCTGCTGTACCAGGCATAATTGCAAGCAAAGATAGAATAGAAAGTAGAAAAAGGAAGGAGCTGCTGCTATATGTGTCTCTCTCTCATATATATATATATATATTATGCACTGTTTGTTTCTAAGGACTGTTTCCACAAAGGTTACAATCTTCAGTGCAGAGCTCATTTCTAACACTGCACTGAAGCTCTTAATGCAACTATCCCACTTACGCTGCCAACCATATGTGACGGGCGCAGCGTCAGACCCCAGACCTTCTCACCAAACTTGTGACCGAAGGACTAGCCAATCTAAAACCGCGATGTCAAGTGTGTGTAACAATGCCACACCCAGCTGCACTCTGCACAATGATTTTCCAGCTAATTGGACCACAATCGATGTACCTGCAGCCTGAGAGCGTTTGTTACTGGGTCAGGTTAATTACGCAATTAACCCTTCACACTGCCACCACACCTCCTTTTTATACAGAGAAAGAAGAAACTCAGCAATACACTAGGAGGATTGGTTAACCGTCAGTATCCCGCTATCTCTGGAGACCAGGTATACAGAGGGTTAAATACTCATAGTAGCGCTCTTCAGCGGCAGGGATTCGTAAGTTACATTGAGGAGCTATAGAAACAGTTCAACACTTTTAGAAAGTAGGATTTATTACCAAAAGGTTAAAAGGGTGCAGTAAAAATATTTACAGAAAGAAGATGTAACCAATATATATATATATATATATATATATATATATATATATATATATATATATATATATATATATATATATATATATATACACACACACACACACACACACACACAGCACAACAGCACAGCAAACAGATAACCGAAAGAAGTTTAGGTAAATAAGCACTTGCCAAATAAATACCTGGGGTTAAGTAGTTTCAAGTCTGGTGTGCTAAAAAGGGATTTCTGGTCTCGCACTCGATTTCGTTGTTGCAGCGAGATTCTCCTTTGCTTTCTGTCCGATAGATGTTATATCGAAGACGGTCCTCACTTCTCTGACTACACACAAAACATAAGAGTTTCTTTTTTCTACACAACATCAACTGGTATCTTCACTTCCTTATTTGGCAAGAGGATGGTTTAAACAGCTACACTGAACGCATTCCTGAGGTAGGGGGTGGAATGAGGGGATACAGAAGACTTCTTAATACAGTGAGAGCCTGTGCCTGGCTCTTGTATGCACAATACTACACCTCCCCCCCCCTCAGGTGATGGCATATGAGTTTAAGAGCAAAACCAAAATGTAGAAGTTTGGGGTAAAATGGAGAAGCGCACCTCTCCCTGTGGGCATGATTGTGACAACAACAGAATACTCTACAGAGGGATATGTCTTTGGTGGCCCTGGATTGCTGTGGGAGAGCCTTACAGATCATTTTGTGTTTGGTGATGAAGGAGAACCTACCCTTGAGGACCTGCGCGAAGACAGAGAGGCTATGTTCGGTCTCACAGGGATCTCACAGCTTGAACCAGATCTGGAATACCTGCTGATGAAAGAACAGCATCTGGAAAGGGCATACAGGCAACTGCTAAAACATGTTCAGCAGCATGCCAAAGAATCGGCAGTGAAAATTCAGGAGACTGGGGATTTGATAGACTTCTCTTCTGAGGAAAAACAACCTGGTGAGCCTCCAGCAGAAGAGCTGGCAACAGGGCCAAACATTACTGAACTCTGCCCAGCACTGGTAACATCTTCTGGGTTTCATGGACAGGAGATGGTGAACCCTTATCCCCAGACACCAGTTCCAGACACTGGGGATTTGATTGACTTTTCTGCTGAGGAGGAACCAGCCAGCGAGCCTCCAGCAGAAAAGCTGGCCTCAGGGCATGCCGTTGTTGACCTCTGCCCACAACAATCAGCACCGCAGAAGCTACAGGAAGAGGATGCAATCAGCACCTCACAGCGGCAGCTTGAACTGATGTCCATGGATGGGACTTCGGTCTCCACTGACACAACCCCAGAAAAGGGTCTGGCATTGGGGCAAGAGGATGTCAGCCTTACTTTGCAAACACTGGGGGATGAGACTACAGTCACCACCTGGATACCCCAGGGATGCTGGGCAGCAGGCCCAGATCCCCAACAGCATGATGGAGTCGGCCCAGCCACCCTGTCTTCTCTCCAGCGGCTGAGAGGACTTCAGGGAGAAGGACCTGTCTGTACTTCTCCCCAGCAGTGGGTATGTTCTTCGAGAGAGGCAGAGGTTGGCTGGGTGAGTAATGCTATGTTTGGGACAATTTGCTTGGGGTACTGTGTGAGCGCTGGCATTGGGGGACTGGAAGTATAGACTAACTTCGGAGTCCACCCGTCTGGTGCTGAAAGGGGAGATATATGACGGGAGTCACTTTGGGTGGGGGGCCCATGGAACACAGCTCCCTTTGGAGGGGTGGGGAGACCCCTGTCTCAGCTCCCCATATCCCTATTATGTGTAAGTCACCCTGTGCCTATTATTAGGGGTACAAGGTAAAATGTCCTAATATTGGGGTGGGGGATTGTTCATTGTTTAATGCCATGTGGTTGCATCCCATTGTTCTATTGTGCGTCTTGCTTGGGAGCAAACTATTATGGGATGTATGTGTTTGTATATTGGCTTGGTGGGGGGTGTCTGCTGATGTGTCTCTTGTTGCTAGATGTGGTTTGCCCCGCCCTGTGTCATTATTCAGGGAGGGGGGAATTGTTCCCTTGAAAGTATATATCTTGTATCTGTGTTAAAATAAAAGTAGTCTTTTTCCTGGTTTTCCTTCAAGTCTGGTGCCGTCTAGTCTTGTATGGTCAGCAGTGGTGTCCGTGGTCAATGTTCGGGCAGGGAAGCGGTAGTCTAACGGAAATACCCAAGTGCAATCGGGGTCCGGATTCCATTACAGCGTCATACAACCGATACACCAAGAGGTCAATAGTGACCAAAAAGGCCTCCTAGGAGATGCTGGAATCCTCAATCTGTAAAAAATGGATGGTATTCTTAACGAATGAAGGTAGTGACGACACATGGGGTTGTAAAATACGAGTCTAACACAACTTAAATTTTCCGTCAGACCTCCATTCCCCAAGACTATTGGGCTCCCTGTGAGATTTTTTGGGTCCTTATGTATCGTTGGTAAACTGTAAAATGTGGGAGTTCTGGGAAATTTTACCCTGATGAATTCCTACATTTCTTTCTGAATTATACCACCCTCCAGGGCATGATCAATTAGCTCATAAAAATCTAGAACAAATTTATCACTCAAGGTTACAGGAATGGAATGGTACCAACTGTTGTTTAGAAAAATCTTATAGCACATTTCCTTATTATTATTATTATTATTATACAGTATTTATAAAGCACCAATAGTTCGCTCAGCGCTGTACATTACAAAGGGGGACAGAACAATACCAATACAATGCAAAACATGAGGGAATTGAGGGCCCTGCTCTTTCGAGCTTACAATCTAGGATATTGTGATTGTATTGTGATTACTGTATATTGTTAAAATATATATATTGTTATATTGTAAATTTGTATTATATATATTTATGTTTTCATGTTGTTTGTAATACATTTTTCTTGGGCTTTTTTTGTGTGTGTGTCTTAGATGGATTCTATTATGACACTGGCCTTGTTTTGGTGAGTGACCCCCGTATTGAACATTCGGCATGGAATATGAATGGCCCTACGGGGAATCTTCCCTATGTGTGCCATTCCATGCCCCCAATGGTATGGACAAAGGGCTCTTTGCCTGGTTGTCCCTAGGGGGCAATCTCCCATGCCAGCGGCATCTTATGACTGCCCTGGACATTGTGTGGTATCGCGCATGCATCCAGCATTGTTTGTGTCCTCATGCTGGGTGCTGGCATGATGTCACGTTCTTTAAGTCGGGGTCAGTGGCTGATGCCGAGGGAGAAGCTCTCCCTCACGGACGCCGAGGTGGCCATATTGAGTCGCCATCTGACGTTATTGGCGGCTTATGTCGCTTCATCTCTTTGCTGGCGGCACAGATGGATCGGATTACTCTCTGATAAGATAATTATTTCACACTAAGACCTATATATATTGGATGCATTATTGCAGTTGGCTTTCTGGTTTGAAGGTGGTCCCTTACGCTGTCTTGGACGGTTTGGTGAGCATTATACTTGCCTTTTTGTGAAGTGTTGCATACATCACTATGGGAAGCGGAGTCAGTATTTTTATGGTTAGGTTTAAATTTGTATTACAGATAAACTAGCTGATACAGCTTTTTGTTCCTTGGAGATCTGGATATTTCCACACTCTTACAGTTTAGTAAGCATTGCAGTGAACTGCAATAGCAATGGTATTTTTGTACTGCTACAGGTAACTGTGATAGCATTTTTATAATTTTTGATTTCTATTATAGATCGAACAATTGCACATATAATTCTTGGTCCTGTGGGACTCATGATATCTCCACCGTACAACAAGGGATACTTTGGTGCATTATACTTTTTGGTTATGTCCTCAATACGGTTAGCTTTCTTCCTTATACCAACCAAATATTAATTCTATGGCCTTGAACAAACCCTGCCTCTAATTTATATTGAATCTTTTATGATGATGATGATAGAGGGATATAGAGGGTGATTTGGTGCTCCCCCGTTGCCGTCAGCATTATGAGGTGGATATCTGACCACCTTTGTTCTTCCGGTAGTTCACGCCACTAAAATCTTGGACCGTGCAGCCTCATCTTGGATATCAATATTTTATGATTGCTCTGATTAATATTGACAGTTTTATTCCCTAGTAAGTACTATAATGGTAATTATATCAATGCCACTGACTTGTTTTTCTTTGTATAAATTATTACTCATTCCTACGTGTTTATTTAGAAATCCCTCTTGTATTTATGAAGAAGATCAGCAAGTGGAATGATCGAAACGTGTCGAGTAACTTTTTGGGAATTTTGGTTATTCTGTAAAGGAATTCTCTTTGCAATATCCATCAGAGCTAATATTTTTCTTTAAAGATTATGTATTTTCACAAGTATGTCCATGTAATAAAGCATATGTTTTTAAAAAAAGTATTTTTGAATATATGTGTAATGATATGGTTGCTGCATTAAAGTCCCATAGGGGGATTCTCCATTTACATTCCAAATACCATTAGATAAACAACCTGTCCTCCTTAGTATCATAGTCCCATTTAGGTAATCCCATCAATAAACAATCCCTCGACAATATACACAAGCAAATATAAACTCTATACCTGGCCCCCAAAGCCTCCAACCCTCCGCCTCCAATTGCCAACAGCAATGAGGTTGATCCCAACGCTTTATATCTGCCAAACCCATCCCACCTGGCACCAAAATAGCTGCGGAAATTATGTCAACATGTGCATGTGTCCCACGTCATCGTGCATACGCGACATGTCACGCACATTGACACCATCCATAGCAGAAGCGTCCACCCACCACCATTGTGGGAGCACACACCATTGGAGCGCACAGCACCACCAACAGTGCACACCATTTCCTCCACATCCGCAATGGATGGTCAAACCCACCTGCATTCCTCACCATAAAGGTGGAAGGAATAAAAGGGGAAAAGGCAGTAAACATTACAAAAAATAATATATGCTCATCAGAGAGTAATAAAATATTTAAACACCATTGTGTACAACATTCTGTTAGGTATACTACGGGTCACAAAGCTTGAGTTGTATCTATTGCACACATCCAATAGTCTATATTTTATATCTATGAGGGTAAAAGCAGGACACACTGCAACCATCTAACCACAAAAAAAAGTTTGTAGCTAAGAGCCTCATTTAGGACATGTAGCTTTTAAAGAGAAAATCCACCTAGATTCCCTCTGAAGGATATTATTTCCATAATTTACTAACTCATAAAGTTAGTAAATTATGGAAATAAGAAATATATATTAAACGATAAAGAAACTAAATATCTAGTACCCTCAACATGCAAATTACCCATAATATACTCGGTACCAAAAATTCATAAGAACTTGCTAAATCCCCCAATTAGACCGATAATAAAAATGGGATAGATTCGCTAACAGCAAGGATGGGAGAATATATTGATCAATATCTCCAACCACTAGTGGTACAAACTAAGGCATATTTGAAGGACACCAGACACATAATCCAACTAACACAAAATGTACAACTTACTGAGGACAGCATATTAAGTACAGTGGATGTCACATCGCTATACACAAACATAGATCATGATGGAGCGATTAAAGCAGCAAAGTGGGCACTTGGAAAGTACTCTAATTTACAAAAAAAAACAGCAAAAATTTCTCATCAAATGTTTAACCTTTTGTCTCAACCATAACTTCTTCTGGTATAACAACAAGTATTACTTACAAATCAAAGGTATAGCGATGGGGGCTCGTTTTGCCCCCAGCATAGCCAATTTGTACATGGCACAATGGGAGGAGGAAACAATATTTAATTACATTATTACATTACATTACATTGAGTTTATATAGCGCCAAAGGGTTTGCTCAGCGCTGTACAATAGAGGGGGGGACAATACATGAAACATTACAGCAGCTACGAACAGCACACGAGGGGTAAGAGGGCCCTACTCTTTCGAGCGTACAATCTGGGAGGGAGGGGGTAGTGGTACAGGAGGAAGTGGCTGTGGGGGATGGAGTGGTAGGAGGAATGAAGGAGAGCAGCAGTTAGGTGAGGGTGGGGTAGGCTTCCCTGAAGAGGTGGGTTTTCAGGGAGCGCCTGAAGGTGAGGAGGGAAGGTGACAGTCTGATGGATTGGGGTAGTGAGTTCCAGAGGATGGGGGAGGACCTGGAGAAGTCTTGCAGACGTGCGTGTGAGGAGGAGACCAGGGAGCAAGATAGAAGGAGGTCCTGTGAAGAGCGAAGGGTACGGGTAGGGTGGTACTTGGGAATCAGGTCGGTGAGGTAGTTAGGGGCAGTGTTGTGAATGGCTTTGTAGGTCAGAGTGAGTAGTTTGAATTTGATGCGTTGGGCGATAGGGAGCCAGTGGAGGGAGAGGCAGAGGGGGGTGGCAGAGGTGGAGCGGCTGGTGAGGTGGATGAGTCTGGCAGCTGAGTTCAGGATGGTCTGAAGCGGGGAGAGTTTGCACTGGGGTAGGCCGGTGAGGAGGGAGTTGCAGTAGTCAAGGCGTGAGATAATCA